TTGAAGCTTGTTGGTGCACAATGATACAGTACACCAGACCTCAATATGTCATCATTACTTTAGATTCAACACATTTTAGTACGATTACTCATTTTTTGCCAGGGGTTTCTTCCATTTGGAACTGCAATTGACACTGTGATATCTGTGAAGGTGATGGGAGGATCAACAAAATCTCAGGAGTAAATGCCTCGGGGAAAATCCGCAAACAAGTGGTTTTTTTTCCCCCCATTATTATTTTTAAATTCTCTTAGAGCAGCTGAGAATTTGGGATTATTGTTATAGGTTTGTGTTCATTTTACCAACTGATCATTATTACTACTGGTTAAGTAGAACACAGAGTTAATGTACAAAAATAATAGTTACCTCTATGTTGTATAGGAATTTGGAGGATGTGGTAATCTTTACAGGAACAAGTATTTGTTGTTTCCAGAGTTGAATTAACCGACAGTTTACTACGAAACGCCTGGGGAGTTGATCGAGACCAGCAATCTGTTTCAGTTTTGCATGGTCTGCCCAGTTTCGTATTATTATTTGAAATATAAAATAGGCTAATCAAAACAAGTAGTGGACACAAAGAATTCCTCAATAAACTGTTCAGTAATGTTCCCTAGTTTAATAAGACCATTTTTTTTATTCAAGCAGTTCCATACTCCAATATGGCCACAATTTGAAAATCTATTTTTCAAATTTAAGCCTATGACTGGTCCTGACGGAGTCTTGTTCCTTGTTTTTAGGCTCAGTCTAAAACCGTGTTAGATAACTGCCACTAAAAAGCTATCCTGAAAGTCTATTTGTGATTTAAACCCCAGATCTGTTTGACAGATTTTCTTGAAAAAATAATTGAAATAAGACAATTTAAGCTCCTAATTTTGTAATTTTGTCAGTCCAATGTCCAAGATGGCTGACACTGCCGCCATCATTATAATCTATTTTGACCTTAAGTGAGATATAGAGGAGTCCAAGTTTTGCTGAAACTTTGAAGGAATGGCTAGTTCATGGATCGCTCTATGAAATCCAAGATGGCCAACAGTGCAGTCATCTTGAAAATTATTTTAGAAATGTGATGCACATAAGAGAGTTTGCTGGGAGCCTTCGCTAGGTTGTAGTGTTCTATATATATATATACACACTCTATTATAAGTTCCCTTAGATTACTTCTTGTTTTAATTTCAGTTTTTTTTTGGTCTCGGGTGTAAATACTGGAGTGCATGCAAAGCCAGACAAATTATCTTGTAAAAATGGGACATTTTGGGAAATTGAAAGCTTGAAAACAGTCTGATGGCAGATACGGTCTTATAAAACACTTTTATAATGGTGGACGAGGGAACGTTGGATTCCATAGCCACACGATCTTGACAAAGGTCACACATACAGCGTATAGTTACACTTAGGCATAGGTGCAATTTGATAAGCATGTCTTGTTTGATTCTGTCTGGCTACGGTAATTATGTAAGTTTTATACAATCTGGTAATATAGATTACTGCAAGGACGACAGACAAACCATATTTACCATGCCTAGTATCACAGCAAATTCTTCTGTTTCAAATAACCTAGCACGAGACACATGGGGGTCGTACAACAAGTATTATGATTTCAATAATAATGTCAGCTTCTCTACCGTCTTGACAATTAACACCCCACTACAGACATTGTCTTCCATTACAGTGAGTGCTGGCCGTGGGTCACAGACCAGCGCACCGACTAGCAGCTGCGATCTGTTGATGGTTCTTGTATTCATGTATTCCGTGGGAAATTCCCCCGAGGTCTGATACGTCTGGCGGAATCAAGGACCTTCGATGTCGTGTTTTGTGCACACATTCATATTCATCAGCATCGCCAAACAAGATGTGTTTACTGTATAAACCCTCAAGATAGCCTTGCAAAATATAATGATTTTTGCCTTCTTCTAGATCGTCTCTGCCTGACGGCAATGTATATATAAACAGGGATATGGCCGTTTTGGATAATCTCTTATCACTGTTTTATTTTGGAATTTAAACAAATTTTTTGCTTGAAGAGATAATGATCCTTTATAGATGTATAGCTCTGCAGACATCCATCATTCTTTCAAGGACGTTTAAGACTGATGTGGGATTAAGGACGCATATTGACAGGTAGAATATTCATGGTGAGGACTTGGTCCATAATCCTTTAAAACATCACATAGGCAGTTCAATGTTCACATTACTTATCAACTTAATTATTGCCTTCATTTCTGGACTTAAAACGTCAACATAATGGCGGCACAAAATTAAAAGTTTGTTTTACACTTCTGAAAATTTACAGCAGAATAGTGAATTTTTTGTTTGCACAAATGGGTTTATTTATCACTGCCAGTTGTATAAAGCAAATGAGTGGTCACATGACGCAGTGGATAACGCACTCACCTTTCACCATTGCGGCCAGGGTTCGATTCCCTGATCGAACGTGATCGTATCGGATGGGTTCACCTGCTCGACCTAGTGGGTTTTCTCCAGGTACTCCAGTTTCCTCCCACGAATAGACCACCAGAACACTTACATCTGGGCCAACAAGAGGGATAAATATAAGTTGTAATAACTTAATTGTTTCATACTTATTGTGAAATAAATAAAGTTTGTATTTAATGCAAAAACATATCACGAATGTTTTTAAACAGTGAACATTGTCATGATAATTAGACAGAGAGACATTAAAGGTCCATTATCTAGGTAGTGATGATCTGACTGACCTCAGACAAGATACGTAATGAATACCAGATGAAGCAGAACTAAGGATGACAAGACGTAATATGTGATGGTGAATAGCGACCAATCAAATGACTGTTTATGATGAGCTGGTGTAGATTGAATTGTGTTGGGAAGATTTATATGTCTGGAGCACTGCAAGAATCATCAGGCTTCTGGGAAGTTTTTGTTCTGGTTTTTTTTACTGTCTTCAATTATTTTTGGTAAAGTTTGTTTTACCAGTCATCAACTTTTGTTAAAACTTTCATACTTTTGAAACAGCTTGATGAATTTTTATCTCAATCAAAATAAAAGTGAATTCTTCATCTTCAGACAGTATTGAATCCCAGTGTGTTGCTGTGCTGAGCTTGGTGAGTGCTGGTTAGATTTTCACTGTGTTTGAGGATCAAGCTCACGCAGTCAGACCTCAACATGTCCAAAATCTTATAACATTGTAAATATCCGCATGTGTGCAGGTCAACCTGAAAATGTCCTCCATGACCTGTGCAGATTGTAATGTATTTTGGAAACTCACACATATAGACTGCATGCTTAGATCAACATTGAAAACGCTTAAAAATCACCTTTTTGAAGTTTTAAGTATAAGAATTAAGTCAGTAATGTAGACAAGCAATATAAGTATATCAAAAGGCAAATTATAATAATTTAAATGCCATCTCTACTGATTTTGATGACTTTGAAAAGTTAACATGCTGAAATTACCTGCATTTTGACTTAATCTATTAAAACCCTCATTTCATTCCTGAGAACTTTGCAGACATGATTGAAATGTATAGTGTTGTAAAATTGTCACTTGTACATATTTGATTTTCATGTGACATGTTTCTAATAAATAAAGAGTTAGATAAGATATGCCAAAAAAAGATGAAAAAGAGGATACTTGATCATAGTGTCGTCAGTAATAACAAATAAATTTCACGAGTGTGGCTAATATTTTGATATTTTGCACGAGTGCGCAGCACGTGTGAAAAATATCAAAATATTAGCCACACGAGTGAAATATATTTGTTATTACTGAAGACACCATTAAATTTTCTATTTATTACATTTTTAAAGCATAAAACATGAAAATTGTAATGCATGAAAAAAGGGCGGGAATCAGGAGCGTAATAATTAGCACCATAACCTAATGACGTCACACTTGACAACAAGGCTGCGCGCCATTTTGAATTGGATAATCAACGCAATTCTGATGTTTTCTGCTGTATTCTGGTATTATTGCTTATAAAAATGTTATCAGTTGTATATTTATGTAAATACTTAAGTGTGTATACCAAACATTTACCATAACAACCACTTATTCTACCTTCGCTTCATTTGAATCCGAACAAAAAATCGTTGCCTTTGAATGCAGCGAATAGAAGACACCGTTATGATTGGTCAATATCAAAAGTGATATTTTCACACTGTGAAAATATCACTTTTGATATTTGTCACAGTGTGAAAGATATCAGTTTTATCAAGTTGATAGAATTTGATATTTCACTGGCAAAAATGTAAATTTTTTTATTAATATACTGGACCTGTTACGATAACAAAACTAATGTTTTAGTAGTGAAAAAAATAATACAGTACTCTGTATTTGAAATTTTGCTAATGGTTAGGAAACATGGCTTCTTAATCATAACCTTTCAAGTTTCTGAATTAAAATACCAAAACTGATGGAATGGAGGATTTATTTTTAGATTGTCTATACGCTCATGTGAGGATCATCTTTAATGATTCGATATCTTTCAATTTAAAGGACAGACATGATCGTTAATCTATGGTAGTGTCCTGTCCACACGAAACTCTCTAACACTGCTTGTGTCATTAGTCCGTCGAAATTCAAGCTGACATCTCTGTGCCGTTGATACTTAATTGTGTGGTTTCATACCAATTCCTTTCGTCAATGGAAGATTTTCCAGATAATTTCACACATAATTTGTAGAAAATTGTCCTTATGTAATGAATTAAACTACTCTGCGTATCATGAGTGGATGTTATTGTGTCGACAATCACAGGAAGCCAGTCTTGTCTACTGCGTTTTGAATGACAGTCACACACATAGGGTATATGGTTACTATAAGAAATAATCATTTTTTTTCCGCCTCGCTTGTCCTGGGTATTGTGTATGTCTGTATCGCCACATGAATAGCGAAAGACACAGATGATCTGGCCCTCTGTCCTCTTAACTATACCCACCCTATAAAACTTGTATCATTTCCCTCCATTACTCACACTTGCTAGGTAAGTGTATCAGGCAAGAACTCTCCCTCTACATAGGCTCGGCACCTAACGTGCAGATTGCCTGCCACACGGAGCTGCTGAGGAGAGCGACACATTAGCGTGGCGGATGTGTTGTTATTCTATACCGAAGCATCCCGTTTTCTCTCGCGTGTGTTTCCATTGCTGTCTGCATGTCTGTCCAACCGGAGAATTGCATAAATGGCTAAACTGCCTCGGGTACAAGTTTGTAAACCATAGAGATTAACAGTGCCGGTTATCATTGTTTGGAATTCTATACGGAAAACAGTTATCAACATTTTTAACTACAAACAACCACAAAGAAAACATACTCATCTATGGACTTCATGCTCAAGTCATTCGTGTGCTGTATTATCATCGGTTTAGTGTTCAAATCGTCCATGGAGATTTTGTTTTATTAAATGTGCGACCTTTTTCTGTTCATTTGCTTGGATTTTAATACCTGACTTTCTCGGATTTAAATGAAAATTCATAATAAGGTAAGAAAGTTTATTAATTTTTTTTGAAAATTTGAAACTTTTGATATCTTCTTCCTTTCTATCAGATATGTACATTAGTAATTGAATTTAAATATAATTGACGGAGCATACTCGTGTATATGAACAGCTAATTGATCTGCGTTAAGAATTCCGTTGGTTGTAAATACACGGCGCTGGCTTATAATGCTTTATGGAAATATATACCTTGTATTATATTGATTTCACGAATAGATGGTACGATGCGGTGTCAAAACCCTTGTGCTCCGTCCCAGCTGGTATTTAACGAAGTACGTTGTGACTGTAAATAATTATAAAGCCTGCGTATATTGCAGTATAATGTAATTTTATCTTCTTTATTCAATTATTTAGAAAAGATTGGAAACTTTTAAGTAGTTAGAGTTGAGTTTTAACTAAAGTGTAGATACCAAAGTTTGTATTAACCATAAGATATATCTTTGATATAAACCTTAGGTCTATTTCCAATATATGTCTAATGTATGAATGAGCAATTTGATAATTAATAAGAAAGAGAATATTTGAATATTTGTAAATATTACAATATTTTGTTTTATGCATTGGACTGTTTCAGTATGTATAGAATAAATTAAGAAAAAAAAATATTTTAAGGAGAAAAAAAAGTTTTTCGTCTCCCTTATGTTTAACCATTACTATTATTAGAGCTATCCCCCTTTTTTGAACAATTTAAAAAATTGTCAGTTTGGCAGCTTTGATGCAGATCATCTGTTTCTCAAACCATATCTGTTTCTTTTTAAGTTTAATAGATTCTATTACATTGATAATTTAAGTTATGTAATAAAATGTGAAATTTGGTTTGATAGTATTCTGTAATAGAAAAAAAGCCATTTTATGAACCCGGATGTGGCGATCGCCTTTTATGGGTTAGGGGGCGTGGCGATGAGGTGGCCCGCTAATGTAAACAAAAACCTGAATTAAAGCAAGATGGGCAGTTCATGCAAAAACACGTTTGTTTTTTACAAACTCTCATTTTTGCAAGAGATGTTGTAAGGGCAGTAATTCATATATAAACTATTTTGTTCATCCATGAAGGGTCAAATATGTGATACATAAGAACGGGACGTAAGGCGGATGATGAGTTTATTTACTAATCAAATTAACGACAAATGGTAATTACTGTACATGAAGACTTTACCTTACTCTTCCTTTCTGTCGGTGACATCTTTACGTACACCTGGTTAGTTATTGCAGGTGTCGGAATATTTATGACCAGGTGGAGACAAATAACATTTTACTGCTGCCAGATTATAACATTTCAGTAAGATTATAAGCAACTAAAAGTAGTCCTTGAGTGGCTCCGTTATTTATCTTTATAGAGACCTTGAAGCTGCGTTTGTTCCTTGATAATGGAACAAAATCGTCTTCATCTGTTAACAAAACTGAGGGTTTCAATGTGTATGGCCTTTATTGGGGGCACTGTCTCTGGGGAGTGATCGTCGTCCTGAAGCTAAAAGGACGAGACATTTTGACAGATCCGGAAACCTTACCTATGAAATGATCCAGTAGTGCACCAGTTAGTACACTCGTCTTCCATCAAGATGGCCAGGGTTTGATTCCCCATTTGAATTTATATATGGGGACAACTGTCTCAGAATACGCAGGTTTTCTCTAGGTACTCTGGTGTTCCTACACCTAAAGTCCTCCTGGATGCTTTCATATAAGGGTCAAGGAGCAATTGATGTAAGCTAATATTTTGTTTCATACTTGATGTAAAATACATAAACTTTCATTTTTTTTTTTTTAGCCAATTCTATTTGACATGGAAATAATTATACTGAAAATGAAAGTGGAAACAGTAGCTACTCTGAACAAGGTACACCCCCCTACTTCTCAAAAACATTGTATAAAATTGATATTCTCATAAAGCCAAGAATGTTTTGTGTTCGTTTATTTATACACAACAAAAACGATGAAACAACAGTTTACCTGTTTATTACAATTCGAGATATTTAAATGAGGCAGATAGCAAGATAAAAAGAAAATACAAACTTATACTTTGGCGTATCAGGGGCTACTCACTCAACACTATAAGCTAACTATATACAATACTACAAAAACAAACGTGTACTGACGAGGTAGCCTCCTAAGCAAAGAAAGAGGCCACAAGGAAAAACAAAAAATATATTCTCAGCAATATATTTTAAGTGGGCCAGACAACTCTTGAGCGATTCAAGACAGGCCAAATGTAAATATCTAGTGAAACGTTCTTGAGCGATTCAAGACAGTATACATGTAGATATCTAGAGCAAACCCTTGAGCGATTCAAGAGCTGCATATAAGATA